TTGTGAAAATCACGATAAAATTAAAACTAAAAATTTTGAGAGCAAGCAAGTCAATACAAAAGATAGTGTCAGTAGTTTGGGTGGAAAAGTGAAACATGAACGACTAAAAATTATGAAAAACGGTCTCATTGATGATATAAATTACTACAAAAACCGAGTCTCAAAACATAAACATCGCTCACTTCGAATTTGCTAAGGAACGAGTTGCAATATTTAAAACTTATGATATTAATTTAAAGATGATGCACTCAGTAATCGACAAGAAAGGTTGGATAGATGGACAAACAATAGATGTTTACATTGCAAACCTCATTGAAGATAATGACAATATCACATATTTGCCAACCGATATGGGCGGTTCTATTTTAGGTAGAAGAGAAGAGATTCGATGGAATAAAAAGATGAAAATATTGAGTTTATCAGAAAATTTAGGAAATTTAATTTTGATGCTATATGTATTTATCAATCACTGGAGATTACTTGTAATCGATACAAAAAATGAAAGTTTAGAGCTGATAGATCCATATGAACATACTGGCGAAAAAATGGAGCGTGTTCAGGAAAAACTAACGGAATATTTCAAGAATTGCCAAAAGGAATCAAGCATGAGAAAATTAGATAATGTGCAATGGGTAATCACATCATCGCGTAAGGATCGGCCATATCAGAACGATGATGCAAGTTGCGGGATATATGTGACGTATTACATGGAATGTATACTTAAAAACGAAAAATTTAAAGAGAAATTCGATCCGGAAAAATATCGATTACATATGGCAGAGGAAATTTTAAAAAATTCCCAATCTGTAACAAATAAATGTTTATACTGTTGGGCACGCATTAATGAAAAAAATGAACAACGAAAAACCACATGTCGATTGTGCCATCGTGTTATTCATACAAAATGTGTAAAGAGATATTTGAAAAATAAATGTAAAGACGCAGTAAAAACACTTCAGGATGAAAAAAGTACAGCAGACGACAATTTCAGTTGTTTCTTATGTGAACGATACATGAAAGATTTTAAACAAAGTTGTTAATTATTGTCCAGAGTTTAGTTTCGTGAACATTAAACAGAAAAACTTGGAAAAAAAATTATTCAAAAAAAATAATTAGTTACTATACGTAACAATGCGGAAAATTAGGAGTAGAAATAAGGAGCTGAGTCTCAAAAGGGTATCTTTTTACTTTTGGTTAATCAGAACAAAAAATTGGTTATCTTCAATTATAAATACTTAGATTGAACTTTTTTCAATTTAACTATAAAGTGCTATCGGTTATGAAACTGCAATTTGATTTTCATTTATAAATCTTTATAATTCTCGAAGTAATTAATATTTAAAAGTTCAGAAAACTGATCTTTTAAAATATGAAAAGATACCCTTTTGAAAATCAGCTCCTCATATGTAAAAAAAAAAAACAAACGTATCATCATAATTATGAGGATAGATAAGTACACAAAATTGTAGTTTAAATAGGGTTCGGTCAAAAATTGAGAGACTAAAAATATAGAATTAATCTACACTACCGACGAAAAGTTCCCGGACAAGCTTCTTGTCTTCGTATTGATTTACATATGATACATGAACACATTAACTTAATCTATAAAGAAAATGCTATGTTACTTTACAAAATGTGTACGATCGTGATTTTGACTTTCCTCTTGATTTATTTCACTTTTAATAATTATTTTAATAAATTTTCATCTTGTCTAGAAATTTTCTGTCGGCAGTGTATGCTGAAGAAAAATGAGTTATCTAAAGAAAAATTTTATCTATATTTCGGTCAGCCATAGTACAATCAAGAAATTGGTTCCCGAGGTATTAATATTAAGAAATGTAAAACCAACTATTTGGATACAAAAAAGTTTAGTATAAACGTCCCTGATTGATAATTCGATTAGCAGTAATGCGACCAAGAATAAATTATCCGTGCGATAATTTTTATGTAGTATAAAGTTTTGAGCACGAAAAATTTACTCGTTTGTTAAAATGAATATTTAGAAAATTACAGAAATACGATGAGTTAAGAATTCGTTCAGCAGTAATGCGACCAAGAATTATCTTATCGAAGGTATTACATATAAAAAATTTTAAAACTATTTTATTAACAAAAAAAATTGGTTGTCTGTAAAGTCGGTTTACGGACGATAGTTTTACGTGATAACGTCATAAAGAAACATTGATGAAAAATTGCATACTTTTATGGATTGAATTGAATTATTATCACTGAATTATCATTATTTTGTATTTAAAAATTTAAAAATTTTGAATATTTAAAAATTATTTTAACAAAAAATAGGACTTATTGATAAATTGTTAATCAAAAATTGATACAATAATTTGATAATTGATATGATTATTATTATTTATAATTAATATTGATTATTTTATTAATTTATTATTTTTTATTATTATTTTATTAATTTATCGTTTACAATTATTATTAATTTATTTATTTATAATTGATATTCTTTATTAACAACTATTAATGTTATCAACAATAATAATCTGTTATAATTGATATAATTTGTTTAAATATAATCACGAACAATTAGTTATAGAACAATATTCTGACTGCTAGCTCTGACGTTACGCGAAAAGAGAGATATATGTCATAAGCCAAAGCTTGGGCCTCTCTATCGTTTGTCTGATCGTGCCTCTCTATCGCTTGTTGCGCGCTCTCGCTTGCACTCACAGGCTCAGGCGGAACGCTCAGGAGGAACACAAAAGCGGAACGGTCTGTCGGAACGCGACATTTTTTCGTGAACGCTGTCGGTGTTCATCAATTTATAAGACGTTATCACGTCAAAAAAAATTACTAAAGATGTATCTGATTGATAATTCGGTCAGCAGCAATGCTGACCGAATTATCAATCAAAATTTGCTCGTTCGTTTAAATGAATTTTTAGAAAATTACAGAACCACTATAAATTAAGAATTCGGTTAACAATAATGCAACCAAGAATACTGGTTTGGCAGGTATTAACAATAAGGAATTTTAAAACAACTTGTTTTATAGAACAAAATGTGCGTCATACCTGATTGGTAATACGGTCAGCAATAATGCGACTAAGAGTGTATTTTCCTTATTATATTTCATTTTAATATTTAGCAATAAACGTATCGATAATATAAGAATCATTAGTGATTATACATAATATGATGACGCAAATGTACTTACCCTGTTTAAAAATATTGATTGAAAAGAATTAAAAATGATGAAATTCAATTCTTTTCAATAATTTCAATTATTTTGTTCGCAAATATAGATATAATACAGTTTGTACGAAGTAACCGCTTTTCAATTTTTTTCAATTAGTATTTTTAACCAGGGTATTTTCTTTCAGTCAGCTGATAAACAACCGAAATTAAAAAAAAATAGACATTATAAACATGACAATGAAGTTATAATACCACTAAACACGTACCTTATGTACAGAGTATCAGCAGCTGAAGAAAATCTATAGTCATTAGAGAAGATTTCTCTTTCGTGATTGAAACATATAAATTATTTCATAATATCAATTTTTAGATAATATTAAAAATAGTTTTTAAATGCATGTCCTACGAAAGAGTCACAATAAATGGCGATCAAAAATAGCTTTGAATAGAGATAGAAAATAGGGTGGGACACTTGATAAAGGATATTAGAATGACAAGTATTGTTCAATCGACGCATACCGATCGAACAAAGTGGATACTAATATCATAATTTATTAAAAATATGGTGGCCTCCTCGTGGCGTGTCCTGGGCAACGAACGAAGAATTAAGGAACAAGCAATGAAAATAAAATTGTATAAAATGGCATATACAAGTAATGCAATGGTCTTTTAACATGGAAGTTTCTAAATTCTTTGGCTCGGCTAACACCTTCACATAATAACGGAATCGTTAATAATAAAGATCAACTTTAATTGTCAACAAAAAAAAAATGCTGGACGGTCACTTTCAAGAAAAAGTCTGATTTTATATTGTGTGAGGGTGTTGTAGGAGTCTTACAAAAAAATCGCCAGCTTCAAAGGGCCTTTGTACCGATTTTTTCTGAATGTTTTTTTAAGGATAAAACTGTGGGATGACTGAAGCGGTCGTTCCGAGGAAGATATCGGCCTGATGATTTTTTATATTCTGTGGGGGTGTTGTAGCGGTGTTACAAAAAATCGCCAGCTTCAAAGGGCCATCGGAAGGATTTTTCCAGAATTTTTCTTTAATGTCATAAGTGTTGGGGTAGCTGGAGGGGTAGTTTTTGAGTTTTGAGGAGCCAATCTATTATTTGCATGGTTAAAAAAATTTATTTAATAGTTAATAAATAAATTATCCAACGAATAAGTCAATCAGTTATTTGCATCTTGCCATTACACCCCACTCCCAGTACGCGGTTTAAGGTGGATTCACCAGAACATGTACCAGAGGCCACGTGTTTCAATTCACCAGGAGAAGCAACACCTACTCGAAGTCCTAATTAAGCTATACATAAGTATTGGTGTTGGTTTTACTAGTTTGTACGGCCAGTTCGAGGTATTTATTCTTAGATTTTATGAGTAACCGAGTCTCTGGAGCCAGGCAGAACTCACATTATGATACGTACACTGAATGGTTTGAATCTAAGATTTAATTTTTTAATTGATAAATTCTCTAAACACGAAGTGACTCATTCCATAGCGTTCCCATTAAATCTACTACGTTTCAATGGCACTTGTTAAAAATTAAAAATATTTTTTATCTTTTTTAAATTAAAGCCCAAAATTGATGTATATCTTACGTAAGATTTCAGAGGGGTTGGATGTATCAGTTCAAAATCTTACTAATGCTTATCATGGGGCGGAGGGGGGTTGTAAAATGCTCCAAATTATGCTTACGTAATTGATGAACAGACCCTGCTGTCTCTGGAAGACGAAGTCTGGACTATAATTGGATCTTTGTTATTTGTGATGACACTTGACGGATTGACATCGATACCATTTCTTGATTCGGCATCAATATTTCTGGTATTGACATATCTAGCACAACCGTTCTTCGGAATTAACGATTCCGTCAACAATATCATAATCATCATCGTCATCATCATCGAATTCTTCATTGTTTTTTGTTACTTCTCCATTGTTTGTCACTCCGGTATTATTACCGGACGTAACGTGTTTTATTTCTCTTAAGTTAAGTGCCTGATCATCTTCTTTGTCACTGCTATTCGTATTATTTCCTTGATTTTTATCTTGATCACTTGGTTCGTTGTCTTTTTTTTTATTTCTAATCGTCCTTTCCTCAAAGTTAGGTGTAATTTCTCTCGATTTATTCTTTTCTGTGTCATTATTTAGCGTATTGTCGTCATCGTTCTTGTTTTTCTTTCCCGGAACCTAAAATTGAGATTAACTTATAATTATGAACAAGTTAAACAATCTATTATTTCTTAAATACAAATGTTACTAACCGTTGGTTGATTAGCTATTCTCAATAGCTTATTCTCCATTATTATCTTCCCACCTATTTTTTCATTTCCCCATATTTCGACACCATAAAGACATTCTGCTGTCACTACAGTGTTATATAAGTACATCCTGTCTTTTATGTTATTTCTTTCCGTTTTGTTTATCACTTCCCATGTCGCATTGGCCACTTTATTGGCTTTATTTTTCATCACTTCCATGTGATTACTATGGCTATTTTTGGTGGTAAAGGCATAGTCCAAATATTTAAAACTGTTTACAACTTCAAGTTTCTCGCCTTTGTAGCACCACCTTTTGTTCACTTCCTTTCCATCATTTCCAAACATTATTATCTTTGTCTTTTTTGCGATCACTCTTAATTCGTTTTTGTCCACATATTTTTCTAACTCCCTCAACATTTTACTCAGACTTTCCGGAGCATCTGCTGATCTGCTATTGCCACACCGTCATCCGCATATTTTAACATGAAGAAGTTTGTTTTTCCGATCACTGTGCCATCAATATTTTTTTCACCATCTCTTCCTCCATATCGTTAATAAATATGTTGAATAACACTGCACTCAATGCACATCCTGGCTTCACACCCTGGTTTACTTCAAATTCTTTTGTTTTCGCTCAATTTACTATTACTTCACATGTTGTTCTGTCATATATTTTTTCTATCATTTTATACATTTTTCCTGTGATTCCTAGCTTCCTTCATTGCATCATCAGTATCTCTCTATCCACTGTATCGAACGCTTGCTTCAGATCTATAAAACACGCGTATAGTTTCCTCCTGTATTTTAGTTTATTATTAATTAGTGCATTCAGAGTGAAAATGTGATCTCTTGTTACTCTCCGCTTACGAAAACCTGCTTGACTCTTCTTCATTTTTCTTTCTCTGTCTGTCCAACTCATTATTCTTTCCGCGATCATCACTGTTAGAATTTTGTTTCCTATGTCTAATAGTAAAATTCCTCTGTAGTTTTCTACTACATTTTCATCTCCTGCTTTGTGTATCGTGACAATTCTCTCTTTCTCCCATCCTGTCTGCAGGCTTTCGTTCCACATTTTATTAATTATTATTCTTATCTCCTGGCTTAATACTTTTTTCGGTTAGTTTTTTATTAACTCCGTCGCTATTCCATCTTCTCCTGGTGCCTTATTATTTCCTAGCTTCTTTATCGCTCTCAAGAATTCTCTTCTACTGAACTCTGCATCGATCCTTCATCATCACTTTCTTTTTCCTTTTCTTCACCATTTTTCATATCTTTAATGTTTCTTGCCTCTTTGTTGTTTAGTAACTTTGAGAAGTGATTGACCCAGCTATCACCATTTATTTTCTCACTCATTTCCTTCTTTACTCTCTTTCCTTTGAACTTGTTCACTGCCTCCTACCATTTACTCATGTCTCTTACCTTGTGTATCTCTTTTTCTCCTGCCACCACTTTTCTTTCGCTTCTTCGATCGTCTTTTTGTACACCTTCTTCACTTTTGCATATTCTCCTTTCCTTTCTCTGTTTTGACTTTCTTTGAGCATCATCTTTAATTCACTCCACACTTCTTCCCTTTTTGCTTTAATCTCTTCATCAAATCACTTTCTTCTTTTGATGCACCATTCTTTACCATTTCTTGATTTGACACTAATTTTTGCTAAGTTTGCTGCATCGTATATTATATCTTATCTTTGACCATTCTATTTCCTCTTTAACTTCCTTCTTATTGCCCCATTCAATATACACCTGTTCTGCATACTCCGTTGCTTTTTTTTCCACTTCAGTCTTTCAGAAGTTGCTATAAATTTTCATGTATCCTGCTTTAGCCATTACACCTTTCACTCTTTCTTTTTTTTCTAGTTCTTTTAGACATTTACTTACTTCTATCTCTCTTTCTGTTTGCTTATTATCCAAGAACACATCCGTACCCTTCAATTTCCTTTTTTTCATAACTAGTTTTTTATTCTTCCTGCGTTTTAAATCTTAATGTGACCAGACCTTCCGTACTCCATTCTACACTATTCCAGCTTACTTTGTATCCTAGCTTTTCCTCTAGTATACCTATTGCCTCTTCATTATTCCTATACTTATGCTTGATATGCATTATCATTCTTTTGTTATTTCTCCTCCTCAATTCCTCCTGCAGCTCATCTTCTGTTAACGGTCTTGGATCCTTTACACTCTCATTATTTTTGTTAGGTGTGATTTGCTTCCTCACTTCCTTTTCATTTCCTGCTGGAGTGCTTGTTATCATGCTTCATCTTACTCTAGTTGCCTGATCACTCCTTAACATATCATCTCTCATCAATTCCTGTGTATAATTTTTCTAGACATAGTCAGCGTTATTATAATGCCTTGTATTATTGTCAACTTTTTTTTGCCTTTGCACGCACCTTTCAGTCAATATCACTCTTTCCTCTTCCCACTTTGTTTTTCTCCTTTCATCTCTTCCCTCATTTTTCTCTCACTTTCGGTAAAAAATACACAACTTCTGCAACTCTCTAATCTATAACTTCACCGGAAGCCACCCACTTTACCCCTTATTGGCTACGCATTATAACAAATTTGAAAAAATTATTTCTGGTCATATTATATTTTTGAAATTAAATATTCACTTTCATTTTATTGAAAAAGAACTGCAAAAAACATTTAAAGTGTATCACTTCACTGAAAGCCATCCCCTTCATCCCTTATAAGCTACGTGGCATTAAAAATTTTTAATAAACTCTTTCTGGTCAGATTATATTCGTGAAACTCATCATTTACTTTCTGAAATTCAAACGAGAGTCTTCGAAAATGTATTACTGGAGTAAAACTAATAACTATCTTCATTAACTAGTCACCCTGAAAGCTCAAATACTAGACCTTTTGCAACCTTACTTTGCATTGAAATTCCATGCATTGCCGATGTATAGTTTTGCAGATAAGTATAATATTTGATCACAATTTTTTTTTTAGTGATTCTAATTTTTGAACAACAATTTCAAATTAACAATGTAAAAACCTTCAATAGTTATTAGTTTAGTTTCTGACAGTATTAGCCAGCATAAAAAAGGGTTATACGACACCTTGACCACAGACACTATATCCACGACATTAAATCCGCGACATTATATCCGCAAACTATTAAATCCGCGACATTAAATCCGCAAACCATTGAATCCGCGACGTAATATCATTATCCCCTGGAACACATTATCATCATCATCATCGTCATCATTTTTTCAACTGGGGCTTTGTCCCCCAACCCCCACCGGGGCTTCGCCCCTGGACCCCATCATCATCCTCACCCTCATTATCCTCATCCTCATCCTCATCATCCTCATCCTCATCCTCATCACCATCATCATTATCATCATCCTCATCATCATCATCATCACCATCAACATCATCTTCATCCTCATCATCATCATCATCGTCATCATCATTATCATCATCATCATCATCACTTTCATCGTCATCCTCATACTCATCATCCTCATCCTTATCATCATCATCATCATCATCAGGGCCTGGAAGTTGGGGCCAACAATTGCACGTAAATTAAGCGAAAAAAAACACGCTTGAATAAAATAATCGAAAAAAAATGACAAACGTAAACAAGTTAAATTGTTTATATGCAAAATATAGCCTCTAACGCGAATTTCAAATAAAAAAAAAAGTTGACAGTAAAACGAGTAAAAATAATTTAAAATTATAATAAAAAAATAAAATAAACTTTAAAATGAGAAGGGAATTTTCGAATAAGTAAAATATATGAAAAAATGTTAACTATGAGCGCAGTATTTTTTTTAACTTCCCGCTAAGAAAATTGAAAATTTCCAAAAGTCGGGAAGTTATTAATTTTACCCCGTTTTTCAAAAATCGAGTTTTCAACGTATGTTGACGTTTTGAGGTCCTAGGAAGCCTCCCCGAATGTTTCCGCGGTGATGTCCGTATGTGTGTGTGTGTGTGTGTGTGTGTGTGTGTGTGTGTGTGTGTGTGTGTGTGTGAAAAAAAACTTAATATCACTTTTTATTGTAAAAAAAATTAATAACAGATAGAAGGCGAAAAATCTCAGAATTTTTTGCACACGTACGTGTTGTAGTAATTGAGAATATAAAAAATTAAAAGAAAAAAACAGAGGCAGTTTTAATAAAATATTCCCCACAATTAATCTAATTAATAAAATTGGGCTTTTTATTAGTGACATAAAAATTACATGAGAAGATTATAATAAATTTATTCATTATTTACCAAAAAATAATTATTAAAACTTTTCTATTATAAAATTCATGTACACGAGACTAAAATTTAATTGTTTCGTCAGTTAAAACTTTTTTAATTGTAAGCTCATTTTCCTGAACTAAAATACAAATTTTATACTATATCATAAAAAGTTTAAGTGATCAAGTTAAATATTTAATCAGACAGACAGTAATAAAATATTCTAAGAGTAGAACAAATATGTGAGGAATAATTTTCTAAATCCTTCATTCAATTTTGATGTGCTATGCATACATATCCATAAAAGAATTTTCTGCGACCATCTGGTCAGATATGGCCACATTAGGGTCATATATGAGAAAAAATTTACTAATTATAATTTTTCATTTTTTTTTTTATAAATTTGTACGTAAATTAACGAGTTTACTTAAACAAAAAATAATTTAGTCGTTTATTAAATTAAGAATCAATTTCAAATAAGTTCCTTGAGAATATTAAAAAAATTATTTTTATTTTAAAACTTAAACTCAAAACTCTCTTGCAAAGAGACAATTCAGCGATTATGCGCCCTCCGTCGGCGATTTTCATATTTCCTTCTTTATATATATTATATTTGTAAAATATATAAAAAATTGAGAATTATCTCGAACAAGTGAATATTCACTTATTTTGAAGTGAGAATCCAACCACTACGGTTTAATTGGTATTCAAAATTAGTGAATATCACTTATTCAAAGTAATTTTCACAAATTCATGTTTAGAGAGTGACTACAACTTATTAAATTCATGTAAATAAGATGTCACTTGACTCAAGATTTAACAGCTCAGTACACTGAGGACTTTCTGAAGAGGGTTCGTTTCCTAGTCATGGAAGAAATTTAAACTTCGCTGGTTAAGAATAAATTGAGATTTAAAATTATGCAAAACTTAAAATTTGACCTTAACTTTGTACTCGATAAAAGTATGCTCGTTATAATAAATTCAGTTTTAATACCGTTGCAAGGTTGAAAGAGATCCAGTTCCGATTAATGTAGTGTTAGCCCGCGGTTTCCCTACACTTTATGTAGTGGGTAGTTTCTCTAATCGATTGCAGTAATTCTGAGTAAGAAAATTACACAGTAAAAAATGGGAAGTGAAATAAGAGTGAAAGGTAAATCCCAATTCAATTCATTACTCGGAACTCACGAGTTAAAAGAAAATACTTCAATACAATTGGAATCAACTATCACAAGGTTTACAATTTAATACCCTTACTTTTTTGTATAAAAAGTATGGTCAATTTTTTTTTATCAATCAAAGTTTTCCCTCTGTAAATTCCAAAGTATAATAATAATCCTCCAAGGTGAACTCTTTTATATAATAACAATGCTTATAAACATAAGATGATAATGATAAAAAGTTGCTTACAAAAGAGTTGTAAAGCGATGTAGAAACTCTCTATTCAGACCATGATGGATGTTTGTCAACCTTTTTCTCAAGGGTAATCTTGAAAAAATAATTAACTTAATTAATTAATTACACAGATAAAAAAGCTAAAGTACAGCGAAGGATGTCTATTAAACATACTATCTCGCATAACGATACGTTGTAATTAAAATAGCATCCAAAATTGCGCATGAGCATGCTTGTAGGGCACTTAAGAACATTAATTTAAATAAATGTAAAAATAAAAGTGAAACTTCAAGTGACTCTTTCAACAACTAATTTTTTAAATTTCAACATTTTACGTTTTAATTATAGAATATAAAATTATCTTCATCCTTAAAATTAACTGACGACCGCGTAATAATAATAAATGTATAATTGAGAAAAGAGATGTAACATTAATAGTAAAGGATCTTTTTGAAATTTTTTTCAATTAAAGCAAGCTAACGACTTAATCTCATTATTCTGATAAATAAATATCTATTTTTTACTACGAATTTTTATTCATACTAATTGAAATTATAAGTAGTAACTCATTTTTTTTTTATCTATTACCAAGAAAATAAGTTTCATGCTCAATCTAGTATTTCGCTATTAAATTTACTTAAAACCATTCTACATTTATGATGAAGCCTTAATGTATTTCAGAGCAATAATAAAAATTTTTTCTAGATTTATTTCGTTGGTCTTGTTGAAACAGTAATTAAAAGAATTATTGTTATTAATTTGGTGGACTTCAAATTAAACTTAAAATTAAAAAAATTAGCTGCTGCTATCATCTCCAAGAAATCTTTTTCATTGTTTTAAAAAAATAAGTTTCATTAAAAACCATCCTAAATTTATGATGAATCTTTCATAATAAATTATAATCATACTAGCGGACCCGACAGATGTTGTAATGTACACACGTCTTCAATACCTTTTTAGAAAAAGAAATTTGAAATGGCTCAAAGCGATTAAAAAAGATTCAACTTGACAAATACATAGATATACATTTTGCATGGGTTGAATCGTTTTAAATCTTTTTTTTAATAAGGAATTACTCTTCAAACACTAATTACATCTTAATCTACTATTTCAATTAACACACGATTTTTCGTAACACAATAATAACACGAAGTTACAAAATATTTTCCTGAATTTGATCGCAGCACCAACTGTTGGGACAAACTGGAATTAAAATAGAATATTATTAAATATTCGATCCTGCGATCGTTGCGCGGTCTGCCGGACACAATGTAAAATATTCCAAAATCAACAACAATTTATAAATAAAAAATTAATTAAATAATCAATTCATATTGGACCGAATTATAAAT